GCAAGTTAAGAAAGTTATACAGAGGCTCAATGGACAAAGAACAATGAACCTTAATCATCAGTATTTTCATTACTCTAATGACCAATCATGGCTCACCATAGCTTCAACCTCCTTCCTTCAATCTTTCCATCCCAGCCTCTCGAGTAGCTGGTACTACAGGCATGCGCCACCATGCCCAACTAATTTGTGTGTGTGTGTGTGTGTGTGTGTGTGTGTAGATGAGATCTTGCTGTGTTGTCTAGGCTTGTTTCGAAATCCTGGGCTCAAGCAATTTTCCTGCCTCGGCCTCCCAACAAAGTACTGGTATTACAAGTGTGAGCTACTGCGCAAAATGTCTGATTTTTGATGCTACAGTCCACTTGTAGAAATTTATTGTAAAAAACAAAACACAGCTGGGCTCGATGGCAGCCTGTAATCCCAGCACTTTGGGAGGCCGAGGTGAGTGGTTTGCCTGAGCCATGGGTTTGAGACCAGCCCGGGCAACTTGGCAAGACCTCGTCTCTACATTAAATAAAAAATTCGCTGGGCATGGTAGCGTGTGCCTGTAGTTCTGGCTACTTGGAAGGCTGAGGCAGAAGGATCGACAGAGCCCAGTAGGTTGATGCTGGGGTGGCTGTGAGTGTGCCACTGCACTCCAACATGGGCAACAGAGTGAGACTCCAACTCAAAGCAAAACAAAAGAAAACAAAACACACACACACACACACACACACACACACACACAAATACAAATATAGACATACTCAAATTGTGTGCAGAAACATTTTAAGGAAATTTTTGATAACAGAAAACTGGAAACTTGTCGAATAGTAGGCAATATCTTAAAAGAATTGTACTGTATGTATGTACTGACATATTATGCTATTATCAATAATTATTTATTTAACCAACAAATGAAGAAAAGACATTTATAATGAATTACTGAGGGAGGGAGGTAGATTTTTTAAATAAACAATATTTCAGAGGTGGTTTATTGAGATAACAAATATAGACTTTATTGTTAGTCTTTTAGGACATGACTTTCAGACTTAACCTCTGATTCTTAATAACATGTCAGTGCCTTAAGGTCTCATTGGTGAGTTGGGAAAGAATATCACTTAGTATATAAAATAATCTACAAAGATGAAGTATATAATTGACAAATCTAAAAAATAATTGTTTGATGTAAGTTAACTATTATTATTTGAGATGAAGAACCCTACAAATTCCTTACTTTACTACTTAGAAGAAATATAATTCTACTAATTCCATTTTTTAATACCAAAAAAATTGATGCTTCTTTGACCTACATTCTTACAATGCTAACTTAAAAGTGTCAAAACCTGACTTTAAGCATACAATTCTTCTCAATAATCAAGTATTAGCAAAAAAAGATTCTCAAATACCTAAGGAAAAATGGGTGCCCTTCCCCTGCCCCCAGCAACTTTAGAGAAAACTTTGCAGTAACCTAAAGCTGCTCAGAGATTATGATCTGATAAATTGCCAAATTAAGAATTAAACAGGAGTCTAAATCCTGTTCTTCAGTACAACGTGGAGATTTATATAACTATTCCTAACTTTTACCATCTATTCTGGTTTCTGTCAGTATCTGTTCTGAGTATCTATAGTATGAACAATGTTTCCAGTGCATTAGATACAACATTCATATAATAATAGATATTTAGATACATAAATAGATAATTAAATTTCATACAATAGATACTTGGAAGCACTTTGACATCAGCGATTATTTCTGTGTTCTGCGAAATGACACTGAATCTCCTTTTAAAAATTGAATTCTAAAATGTTACCTTAGTTGGCCATTTTTTTTTTCTTGGTAATTAAGTTTAACTGACAAATCTATGATCCTAAAAAGTAGAAATATCTGAAGTGTTTTCAAGTGAGAGGGGGATTATGGACCCTTCTCAACAAACTAGATATAGAAGGACATACTGCAACACAACAAAGGCCATGTATGACAAACCCACAGCTAGCATTATATTGAATGGGGGAAAGTTGAAAGCTTTCATTTACGATCTGGAACAAGACAAGGATGTCCACATTCACCATTTTTATTCAGCATAGTACTGGAAGTTCTAGCCAGAGCAATTAGGAAAGCAAAAGAAAGAATGGGCATCCAAGTTAGAAAGGAGGAAATCAGATTTTCCCTGTTTGCAGGTGACATGGTCTTTTATGTAGGAAGTCCTAAAGTCTCCCCCACCAAACTCTTAGAACTAATAAACAAATTCAGTAAAATTTGCAGCATAAAAATCAACAAAAATCGGTAGCATTTCTATATGTCAGTAGAAAGCTATCTGCAAAAGAAATCAAGAAACCAATCACATTTACAATAGCTTCTAAAGAAAAAAAGATACCTAGGAGTAACCAAGAATTTGAAGACCTATACAATAGAAACTACAGAACACTGATAAAAGAATGTGAAGATAATACAAATAAATGGAAAGATTTCATAAGTTCCTGGATTGGAAGAATTAACATTGTTAAAATGTCCATACTATCCATAGCTATCTATCAAATAGGGATAAAATATCTGATTTTTTTTTTTTTTTTTTAGTTGGAGTCTCACTTTTTTGCCCAGGTTGAAGAACAGTGGCAGAATCACTGCTCACTTTAGTCTCAAACTCCTGGGCTTAAGTGATTCTCTCACTTCTGCCTCCCAAATAGCTAGGACTACAGGGTGCACCATCATGCTCAGTTAATTTTTTTCTTAAGTTTTTTTTGTAGAGATGGGTAATCCCTATCAAAATATCCATGACAGCTGGGCACAGTGGCTCACACCTATAATCCCAGCACTGTGGGTGGCCAAGGTGGGAGGATCACTTGAAGCTAGGAGTTAAAGACCAGCCTGGGTGTCATAGCAAGACCCCATCTGTACAAAAAAATTTTAAGAAAAAAATTAACTGAGCATGGTGGTGCACCCTGTAATACTAGCTATTTGGGAGGCAGAAGTGAGAGGATCTTAAGCCTAGGAGTTTGAGACTAAAGTAAACAGTGATTGTGCCACTGTACTCCAACCTGGGCAAAAGACTGAGACTCCAACTAAAAAAAAATAAAAATCAGATATTTTATAGACCTACAATATGTATAACCAAGTGATATTCACTTTTGTGATGATTCAGTGACTAAAAATACTTAGTTGCTACTTTTAAATGCTAATAATCTATCAAGGAACATAAACTGTCATTAGGAAAGTGTAAGTTCAGTATAAAGACCACTAGAGAGAGTTAGGGAAAATCACATTGTTGTAAGGTATATAATAAACAAGTGTAACTAAGCCCATGGAATCTATGTGGAGGTTAGTGGAATGTATTCTGTAAACTTTTTCACTATTATTTTTTTCTTCAAGTGATGTTAGGTAAGAAGTGAGACTAGTAGGATAAGTTGGTTTATTAGTTGCCCAGAAGACATTGTGACTAAGTAGCTATAGATATACTTACTTACTTACATACATACATATATATATATATATATATATTTTTTTTTTTTTTTTTTTTTTTTTTGAGTCGGGGTCTCTGTCACTCAGGCTGGAGTGCAGTAGCATGTTTATGGCTTACTGCAGCCTTGATCTCCTGGGCTCAGGTGATCCTTCCTCCTCAGCCTTCTGAGTTGCTGGGACTACAGGTGCATGTCACCAGGCTGGAGTGCAGTGGCATACTCACAGCCACCCCAGAGTCAACCTGCTGGGCTCCAGTGATCCTTCTGCCTCAGTTCTCCAAGTAGCCAGAACTACAGGTGCGTGTTACCACACCCGGCTAAGTTTTTGATTTATTGTACAGAGGAGGTCTTGCCAAGTCTTGCCCGGGCTGGTCTCAAACTTCCAGGCTCAGGCAATCCGCTTGCTTCCGCCTCCCAAAGTGCTAGGATTGCAGGTGTAAGCCACCATGGCTGACCCCTAAGTAGCAAAATAAAACCACCTTTTAACACATACATTTGTGTGCATGCACATTTTTGTTTTGTTTTTTTTTTTTAGAGCTGGGTCTCACTCTGTCACCCAAGTTAGAGTGCAGAGGTGTGATCATAGCTCACTGTAGCCTTGAATTCTGGGCTTAAGCAATTCTCCTGCCTCAACCTCTCAAGTAGATACAAAAAACACCATGCCTAGCTAAATTTTTTTTTTTTTTTTTTTTGTAGAGACAAGGTATTGCTTTGTTGCCCAGGCTGGTCTTGAATTTCGGAAGGTCTCAAATGAACCTCCCAAAGTGTTGGGATTGCAGGCATGAGCCACTGCACCCAGCCCCCACATGTATATTTCAAAGTTAATGTATGACCAATATTCAAATAATTATGAAGTATATTTAAAACCAGAAAATCAAGATCACAGTGTATTGATGTCCTATGGCCTGTCTCTCATTGTCCATTTCTGTCTCTTTTAATGATCTAATCATATTGTACATTTTATTTTAATCTTAAATTTCTATTAACAATATATCTGAAATATGTGTAATGTCCTTAAATATGGTTCCCTACATAGCATTTAATAGCTGTTTTGTATTCTATTGGATACTCATATATTTCTATATTTAACTAGCCATGTTGGTTATGCTCTAGAACCAGGCCTAAGAAATTATTTGTGTAGTACGTTATCTCCTATATATATTGACCAGTTTCAACTGATCCTGATAACATAAAAGAGGTTGTAGTGTGGATAATGAGGCTTCCTTCAGCTGTGGAAAGTGGGAATGAAGGCAGGTGGATCTACTCATGCAAAGATTAAGCAGCCTAATCTCAGGTCTAGATCAACCTTCCTAAAATGGGGGCTTGTCCAGGAAACCCCTGCTAGAGTGTCTGGACCTGGCTTCAATGCAGAAGTGACTCTACAACTACCTTTGTGTATCTGGGTCTCCTAGGGTTTGAGGAAGAGCTTAAATCCATCTTCTCTTTTTTCTTAAGTTATGAGTCCAGTTGTGAGGGGCTATTTTTAAAAAGAGAAATGGAGGAGGAGAAAGATTTCATTAAATTAAGACATATTGGAAGAACTAAATCCTTTTTTCTTCTCTCAGCTCTGGATTCTCTGGCGTTTGAATGTTTCCAGTAGTGGAACCCCAAGGAGGACTGATCAGGTCTTACATTTCTAAAACCATGACCTGTGTAAGTTGATTGTTTCTGTTTTCTTGCAATATTATGATTTTAGGTTGTGTGGATTTTTTTCATTAAACTAAAACTTACTATTTAAGAAGTTCTCATTCAGTTGTCTGCTCTCCAGTTTATCCTGCAGTAAATAGTGGTAACAAATACCTCAATTTTCTCCCTATGAGTGTTTGCTATACAGTTTTTGTATTTTTTGCTCAATTTACTCAATAAAATTATGTGCTTATTCTTCAATCAAAGTCTATGATAGAGCAGTAAAAGGGTGAAGTCCCATCAGGGAACTATTTGAGCTTCCTTTATAGGTCCCTAGAGATGTTGATCCTATTTGAGTACCTCTAGACTTTTAAATTCCCCACCGACCTGAGTTTTAAGATAAGATTTTGTTTTAGATAAGATAAGTTTTATGATAAGATTTGGTTATCAGTTGGTCTCTATCTTAGTATGTGATGAGATCTCATGTTCTTTGAGAAATTTAGACTAGTTAGAAACACATCATGGATCTTGCCAAGAAATTACTGAGACACAAGTATCCATTTTGTGGTTGAACTTGAGTAATATCTTTTTTATTGTGAGTCATCCTATATCAGTGTACACTTAAGAACGAAAAAAATGTTGAGTCATGAAAGATGGCAGTGCATGAGAATATTATCTTAAAGAGCAAATGTGTTGATTTTTAGAATTGAGGAAAACTTGAAATTTTGTTCAACTAAGAAATGAAGGGAAAGGGTGGATTAAGTCTGAGATATCATAATAAAATGGAGTGTTGCACAGCCAGTAAAAATTTTACTTGTCAAAACAAAGAAAAATGCTTTTGATATGTTCTGACATAATGAATGATGACCCTGAGGCTTTTTTGCAAAAGCTTTGTCGCCCAGGATGGAGTGCAATAGCATGCTCACAGATACTGCAGTCTCGACCTGCTGGGCTCAGGCGATCCTTCCGCCTCAGCCTTCCAAGTAGCTGAATGTGACACCACATCCAGCTAATTTTTTGATTTTTGTAAAGACACGGTCTCTCCAAGTTGCCTAGGTTGGTCTCGAACCCCTGGGTTCAGGCAATCCTGTCACCTCTGCCTCCCAAAGTGCTGGGATTACAGGTGTAAGCCACTGCACCCAGCTAAACCTTTTTTTTTAATATAGAGATTTTTTTATATTAAATTTGGAAAGAACATCCCTTTTTTTAATTATTAAAAGGAAAATAGTAACTTGTACGTATTGTGAATTTAAGCATCATGTAACCAGAAGACTATGTAGTTTTGTCTTTAATGTTTTATTGAATACAGAATCTTGAATTTTATTTTATCTATTCCTCAGCAGACCTGAATTTTACAGAAAGATATGTCTGTAGCAATAGGATTCTTCAGGAATATGTAGACACTGCTTTAGTCTGCTACTGGTCATTAGCCACTTGTACTATATCGCTCCTGTTCTCGAATGTGCTCTTCTGATTTCCTGTCTTTCCATCCTGAAAATGTTTTTAAATTTCATAATACATGGGTTTGCAGTTTCAGGAATTAGTTACATTCAGGGATGTGGCCATAGACTTCTCTCGGCAGGAGTGGGAATACCTGGACCCTAATCAGAGGGACTTGTACAGGGATGTGATGTTGGAAAACTATAGCAACCTGGTCTCACTGGGTAAGTTTATTTGCCTCAAGTAATTTAAAATGTGATCTGTGATGTGTTACCGTTCAGCACAGTGGATTTCAAGACTGTATTTCAAGACTTAGCTGAATTTCTCTTTCTTATTCCTAGAGGAAGATTTGAGCTCTGCCAATTTAACAATGGCTCTTCCATTAGGCACCTTTTGTGACTTTCTCCATCTCTTAGTGACTTTCACATCTCCTTATAATTGCTATCTTCTTTAATATCCAAGGGGCTGAATTAAAATTATATATATTTATTCTATGATCAGACATTGTCCAGGAAGCCTGGTTTCCCATTGTGTTTATTCCAAAATTCCTATAGATGTGTACTGTATCATCATGTGATCCACCTGCAGGCACAGTGTTCCACCTGCAGGCACAGCAGTTAGATGCAGATTCATGATTTTCTCAGTGTGAGAAGAACCTCTGTGACTTACATAGTAGTGGATTGGATGAACAGTATTCATTTGAAACAATGTTTCCTGTGGCCAATTTGTATGATTGATAGTTGAAAGTTATAATTCATAAACTTTGCATTTAATATTGATTGACGACTTTGTAAATCAATTGGAATGCTTCTTGTTTTCCTCTTATAGAAATAAAATAATTATAATTGGCACAATTGTGCTCGTTATGTCCCCAGCACTCTTTTGAGAAAAAAAGTAGTCTATGGCCATACCACCCTGAATACACCTGATCTCATCTGAGAAAAAAAAAAAATTATATATATAAAATGACTAAATCATCAAAAAAGTGTATGATAGTAGTATTGTTATGCTCAATTATTGCCAACACTGTAGAATAGTGAGCTGAAGTAACAGGGTTAAAGTTACAAGGTTGGTAGATTTAAGAAAAAGAATTTGTGCCCCAGCCCTCTCTGCCTCCAGAGACTTTCACAAACATTGTTAAACTTTCTCTTAAGTGGCAGAGTCTGTTGGATGTGAGGGCAATCTGGCTGTGACATTTGTCACCCCACTGATCGTCAAGTTGATTTGGCTGTTCTGACTGGCTAGCCAGGTGTCTCCTTCTTCCCTTACTGCTCCATGTGCATCTCTCCCGAAGCTGCATACTCAGTTGAAGAGGATGACCATCCCCATTAGAGGAGAACCATTCTTCTGTCAAGGTTATACGAGTAACTGTGCTCCCCCGCTAGAACCTCTGATAAGCTCTCAAGAAACAGAGCGCATATAAGTTTAAATTAAAATAAAGTTTTACCATAGCACCACATTTCTTCAGTCATCTCACCCTTTATTTATTTAATTTCATTGCAAATTTAACCAAAGCTCAAAAGTTTCTGTGACTTTTGTTTTTATTTTTATATCATGTGGCATTTTTTTTTCTTATAAGCAGGACATTCCATTTCTAAGCCAGATGTGGTTGACTTATTGGAGCAAGGAAAAGAGCCCTGGATGCTTTTGGGGGAAGAAACACAGTACTCAGGTAAGGAAGGCAGGGGCAGCAATCAGGGCTGGTGACAGTCCATATGGTAAGGGAGAAGAGACACTTCTGTGCATTGCTGTTTTTAAGACCCTCCTCCAAGGCACCAAGAGCAAAGGCCTATGGTCTGAGGATGAAATAGAGATGAGTTATGGAAGAACGTTCAACTTTACCCATTTACCTATCTCTTTATTTCTCTTATATTTCAAACCCATTTTCAGTGATGGAGATTCTCTTTTTCCTTTTGTGCCATATATTACCTATTTTTTGGGTTCAGCTATTTTCCAACTCTCCTTTTGCATACACACACACACACACACACACACACACACACACATAGTGACAGAGAACAAGACTTCAAAGGTCCTTGTCCTTGTGGAATTTACATTGTACTAAAGTATACATAAAAATTAACAGGTAGACAAGTAATGTTAGGCAGTGGAATGAGCTGTGATAGAAAGTAAGCAGAGGTCAAGTCATTTTAGGTAAGATGGTTGGAGATGACTTCTTTAGAGCACTAATATTTGAGAAGAGACATAATGTAAACTCACAGGCTGTGTGTTTTTCTGGCAAAGAGTGTTCCAAGCTAATTAAAACCTTGGAAGTCTAAGGGGATGGCAGGGCAGTGAAGGGAAGGAGTGAAGAATAAAGGGAAGAGTATAGGAAGAGCTATGTGAGTTTGAGGAGTGCCAAAGTAGACCACAATAGAGATCCCAAGAGGAAAGTGACAAGAAATGCAGTTTCATTGTTAGGCGGTCTCAGATTATATGAGGTATTGTTGAATTTGAATTGTCAGGAATAAGAATGATTAGAATGATTAGAATGAATGTATATATATATATTATATATATACTATATACATATTTTTTTAAGTTACAACAGTCTTACTCTATTACTCAAGCTGGAGTGCAGTGGCATGGTCATAGCTCGTTGTAACCTCAAAGTCCTCCGCTCAAGTGATGCTCCTGCGTCAGCCTTCCTAGTAGCTGGGACTACAGGCATATGCCACCAAACCCGGCTAATTTTTTTTTCTTTAGAGATGGAATCTCACTGTGTTGCCCAGGCTGGTCTCAAACTCCTGGCCTCAAGCAGTTCTGCCATCTTGGCCTCCAAAAGTGCTGGGGTTACAGGCATGAACCATCATGCCCAGCCTAAGGTCAGTGTTTATGTGGGGACTTGATTAGAATTGGATGAAAAGCAAGATACCACAGTGGAAAATTAATGGAAACAGATAAGAATTTTGAGACTAGGGTTTCAAAGAATTCTGGAGTGCAAACTCTGTTAATGTTTGCCATTGAAGAGCTGATGAATCTTTTAGGAACTTCCTGTAATATGAAGCCATTTGCCTGTGCAAGAAACTTCCAGAGCAGTAAAATTGTGTGAAGGAGGACAGTGGGACAGTTATATCATGTTAATATAGATAGCAAGTTATGTGAGAGAATTGGTAGCTCCTCTTGTCTGTGTCCAGGCTGAATAAACTTAGATTTATTAGGTTCTTAGTGTAAACTTTCTGGTTGTCTCCCTTTTTTTGATTTTAGCAGGCATTTATGCTCAGTGCCTAGATACATTAATTCATTAGACATTTAAAAATGGTCATATTCTAATTCCAACATTTATTTTTTACTTACTATGTGCAAATATAAATAATTTTTATATCACCTGTTGCATGGTAACCTACCGATACAGTTTGTATAATAAAGGCTAGATATATGCTTGGTTTTCCCTTTATTTGTCTTTTCAACTGTTAAACAACTGGTACCCTTCATTGGTGACCAAACAATTACTTTATTGTCATTATAAATCTATGGACTTGGGTATATTAATTGTGTTTAAGCTCATTAGAGTTATAATGCTTATTATTGTTCAGAGTTTTGTATTCTTAGGTTAGTGAGCCTCATAATGTTGCCTCTCATGTTCTTGAGATTCCTAGTAGTTTTTAATATCTCTTCTACCATCTGGTATGACTAGGTGTTCCAGGTTTGTCTTATATATTTTCTGTACCAAGCTTTTATTCAGCTATAAGTCTAAACTTTTAGTTTCTTTTGGTAGGAAATGGTATTTCAAGACCACAATCTAGGTGTAGAGGTGGCCATTTTTCTGGGTTGAAGATTGTTTCTAGATCTGTGTCTATCAATATTTGTGTGTGTGTTTATATATTTAAATAAAAATAAATTACCTGATGAGTTCATGTGGTAACTTCCTGGCCAAGTTTAGGACAAGAGAGTGTTTAATTGAACTTTTCTTTCTTAGACCTGAGTCTCTTTTGCTCAGCACCAGTTCTCCAACATCCCAGTGATGATAAAATTAAAATATCACACAAGTATTCATTTCCTTTATTCTTTTTAAAAATTTTTTAAATTTCAGTGACTTTAAGGGGAGTACAAATGGTTTTTGGCTACATGGACACATTGTACAGTGGCAAAGAAGTCTGGGCTTTAAGTGTACTCACCACCCCCACCTATGCACAATGTATTCCTCAGGTGATTTTTCATCCCTACTCTCCTTCCCTCCTTCCCCTTTTGAGTCTTCAGTGTCCATTATGCAATTCTATATGCCTTTGCATACCAATCATGAAATCAATAATTTTGCAGAGTCCAGTCCACTTGATTTTTTAAAAAATGCCCTACAATCTGCAATATATTATCACTTCCTTATGATTAGAGTCAAGCTAAACATTTTTGGAAAACTTACCCCTAGGTGATGTTCTATTCCTCCCATTAAAACAAGAGATAAATTATTGATTGTTTCACCGACAATGCTAATATAACTTAGTTAAATGGGAGTTTGTGTCTTGATGCTTAATATGATATAACTTGTTTGAGATGCTTTCCATGAATGTATCTGTTGAAGTCAAAGGAAAACTTCTCCTTTGCCATCTAATGGTTCTCTGAAAATCACTGGCAAGAGGCAGATTAAGAAGAAAAGGCATACAAATGTATTTATCATAGTTTTATGTGACATGGGAGCTTTCAGAATGAAGACCCAAAGATACAGGGGGGAACTGTCAATTTTTATGCTTATGTTTAACAAAATACAGACAGCCATGTAGAAATATTATCGGATAAAAAGGGTATGATCTTATGCTAATAGACTGAGTGGGGAAACCCAGCAAAGCCTGTTTAGATTCTTCTTGGTCTCTTTAAGCATGCATTCCTTTTCCCTCTGGGTATGGTGCAGGACCCTATCTGGAATAGGGATTTTATGACCTACAATCAAATAAAATAGGTCAGATAATTTCTTTCTGTACAGTTTTTACATTAGAAAAGTGGGATAGGGAGGAAGTTAGATTAATATTTTTAGATTTTATGGCTGCTTTGGGAAAAGAGCGTTCTGACTTCTATGCAGGATTCTAGTCTTTATAGTTAACCTCAGAATAAAATGGGACTGAGAGAACAAAAAAAGGTCAGAGAAAAACGTTTACTTCTGAGGTAGTTTCTGAGGTCTTCATTTTGGGGTATTGTTTTCCGAGCCCCTACTATATTCTTTTTATCATTATAAATAGTGTGTGATATGAGACTGTGAACGTTGTTTCCCAACAAAAGTTCCCCTAGTGATGACTGAACCAGTTAAAATGGTAGAAAGTAGATTCTGTCTACATTCATTTGCTATCATTGTTCTCTAATGAAGAGCTCTTGTTTTATTAGCAAATTATTATAGACTCTTAAATTTTATTCAGTGTATTTATTTGTTATTTTGAAATAATTTCAGGTTTACAGAAGAGTTACAAAGATAGTAGTTATTGTATACCCTTTACCTTGCTTCTCCAGTTGTAAACATCTTGTATAACCATAGTATGTTAATCAAAATGAAGAAATTAACATTTATACATTATTGTTATTAATAGGCGATAGACTTTATTCAAATTTCACCAGTTTTTTTCATTAATATCTTTTTCCCATTCTAGGATCTAATCCAGAACCAGTTGATGAAAAGATGCCAAACTCTGTAAATTATTTTAGGATAGTTTATTCTAAACCAGACTTGAGAACCTAGATCTGTGACATATGTTCCTAGGAAGATTTGAGAACATGTACCCACCGTGGTTGAATGGTGGCTTGGTTATATACAATCTTAGGGAGACAGATATTATAAATAAATAAATAAATTGGCCGGGTTCGGTGGCTTAGCCTGTAATCCCAGCACTTTGGGAGGCCGAGGCAAGTAGATTGTCTGAGTCCATGGTTTCGAGACCAGCCTGGGCAACTTGGCGAGACCTCGTCTCTAAAATAAATAAAAAATTAGCCGGGTGTGGTAGCGCACCTGTAGTTCCGGCTAGTTGAAAGGCTGAGACAGAAGGATCGCCAGAGCCTGGCAGTCGACGCTGGGGTAGCAGTGAGTGTGCCATTGCACTCCAGCCTGCGTGACAGAGTGAGACGCCAACTCAAAAAAAAATTAAAAATAAGAATAAAAAATAAATCAACATATGTGAAGTTTTTCTTGCTTCAGCCTGGGAAGGCAGGACATTTCCAAGGCAAGGGGTGGGGGGTACTTGTTATAGGTGGATTTAAGGATTTCTTGACTGGTAGTTTGTAATTCCTATCTTTCTAAGGAATTTTAGAAATCAGTAGAGGAGATGTTTTGTTGAGATAAGGAATTGGAAAAACTCCAAGTTTGTTGAAATGTAGATGAAGTCCTGTATGTAGCAGTCTTCAGAGAGGATGGGTAAGTGTTTACAAGGTTCCTAGAACCTGAGAGTCCCCAAGAGAAGGCTTTTCAGGGCCATAAAATACTTTGATTTCATTCTTTTGTTGCTGTGTGATGTTTTGGCGAGTCAGGTTGAAAAACAAACTTTAGTATATAATAAGTTCCCTACATACAACCAAGTTCTGTTCCAAGAGCATGTCTGTAAGTCCAATTTGTTAATAAGTCCAATAAAGTTAGCCTAGGTGCCCAACTAGCACAGTTGTCTATACAGCACCAGCTACATCACCACTGCTTTTATGCTTGCTTCCATTCATCCTGGGCTTGAAATAAAGATTCTGTACTCACTGTACTCTATTCAGTACCATACAGTAAAGTGCCCAAAAGCACAACTACTTGTAGAGGATGCACACAAGTGACAATGTACACCAGACACCTGAACTCACATGATTGGACATGCACATACACATTTGCATCTTTGAAAGCTTACAGCTTGAAGGTTCTTAGGGGACTTACTGTATAAGGTAGAAGGGTAACAAAATCCCATCTAGTGAGTCCTTATCAGGCATGACTCCCCAAGTCTCTTAGGAATTTAGATAAGAGGGAAAAAAGGGTCAGGTTTAGTCCTCAGTTCCCCCTCTTGGCCAAACATCATTCCTTGGTATGCATGTGTAAACCAATAAGTAATAGGAGGTCCCACTTCACTAGAAAGGCTCATTCCTAGGATTGTCTATTTTGTTTATCTGATGAGGTCCCACAGTGCTAGAAGGCATAGTCTGGAATTATCTATTTGGTGACAGTAGTTTCAACATCCGTGATGTTGGATTATGGGGCGTGAACTTGGTTTTACCTGATTTTACAGCCAATTGTTTAAGGGTGACAGGGAGTCAGGCCTAGAGTTCAATCTGAAAAAAACATCCTGGATCAGATCTATTCTATGAGCTATCGTGATTTGGGCCCTTGATTTTGTCCTTTTCCTGTATTTGGCATAGCAGTTAGAAGAGATATATCATGATAGCTTAGTGATGAGCTTAAAGACCAGAGTTATTTCAGGCTTCAGTCCAATGGCCCTGAAGAGATGTCTGTCTTAGTTGTTGCTCTGGAGATCAGCTAAACCTCAGCTGTCTACATCTTATATAACCATAGTACATTAATCAGAATGAAGAAATTAACATTTATACATTATTGTTGATATTAAAAAGTAAAAATTTTATTCAGATTTCACCAGTTTTTCACCAAAATATTTTTTCCTTTCTAGGTTCTAATCCAGAATACTATCTTGCATTTAGTCATCATATTTCTCTAATCTTTTTCCAGTCTAAGACAGTTTCATGGACTTTCCTGTCTTTTATGTTCTTGACACTTTCAACAGTTATTATGTAGACTATTTCTCAATTTGGGTTGGTCTATAGCCTTCTCATAAGTAAATTGTGGTTTGGTTTTGGTAACAATCCCACAGAAAGAATGTTATGTCCTTCTCAGTGCATTATATCAGAGGGTCCATACTGCTGATGTGTGCTATTACTGTGCTGTTAACCTGGATCACGTGGTTGGGTTTCTTTAGAGTAAGATTGTGGCTAAAATTTTATCCACAGTAAAAATGTGTGATATGGTGAAATATATATTTGATTTTCTTCCCCCTTTCCTGGCCAACAACTCTTAAAATCCTTGGACTCTCCAAAATGATAAGTGTCTTTTTGTATGCTTATGAGTTGATTGATAAGGACATTGATGGGTTAAAACAAAGGTTTTAATACAGCACTACTAGGGTTGGGTGGATCAAAGGGAACCCCAGTTGGCTGACCACTATTAAAGGACCATTTTGCTGTATTTCTCCCAGGTTGGAGAAATTTAAAAAACTGAAAGGCAGAGATTATCGTGAGAAGACTGACCAGCAATGACATGGGGCAATGGCGAAGCAGATTAATCAAGATAAAGATCAGCAAAGGGGCAAAGGTCCCTGGGCTCAACCTCTCACTGAAGACCCAAAGTCTTTTGTAAACAAATGGGTAAAATGGTCAGCAAGTGAAGAAGAAGCTCTTCTGGAGCTACTTGGCACAGAAGCCCAGTACACTCCAAAGCCTGTTGATAAAGTCCTAATGGAGGCTACAGTTAGGAAATTAAGGGTGGGTGGAATTAAGCTACAAGTTTATAGGAGAGTTTGTGTGTTTGAAGATGCTTCGTGGGAAGTGGTTGCATCTCTTTTACCTCACTGTATTATGGGACTGGACATTGTATATAACTGGAATTTTTCTCCCACCTAGAATTATAAAACAGTAGACTAGCCAGGTGTGGTAGCGCACTCCTGTAGTTTCGGCTACTTGGAAGGCTGAGGCGTTAGGATCTCCAGAGCCCAGTAGGTTGACGTTGGGGTAGCCATGAGCATGTGTGCCACTGCACTCCAGCCTGGGCAATGGAATGAGACTCCAACTCAAAAAAAAAAAAAAGTAGGCATGTAAATCTGCCCTTCAAGCAATATCAATTGAACGTGCTAAATGAGAATCAGTAAGATTGTCCAAACCTACAGTATGAAGTGGAAGCTGAATTGCTAGTATGGACAAATTCTCTGTTGGATAGCTGTTAGGTTAAAAATCTTGCTGGGACCTCCAAAAATGTTAAGTTACAAAATCTTAGTGGGGCCTCCAAAATATTAGGTCAGACCCGCCAGGGGTGTGGTAAGCAATCCGGTGCTGCGTGAAAGATGCAAAGAATTACACAAAAGTTAAATTAGAAAATTTATTTAGAAAGCAAATAAGAGAAAAGAGATTCACCTCCCCAAGGTAGGAGAGGGAGTCAAAGCTAGGAAATATAGCAACTATAGCTCAAGAAACCACATGGCCAGATCATAGCTTAGCAAAGCAATGGCGAATGGCTGCTAGAAGTCTTATCATTTTAAACCTTACCTTTGATGGAGGGAGGTCATTAGGGTGATTGAGTGGTAGTCTGTTTCATCTCATCATGAAGGGCAGATAAGGACAGGTACTGACGTCTGGTGATGGATGACCGGCAGATAGGTGGGTTAGTCACATGACTGTTGCCATGTTGATGGGGTCTGCTATGACAGTCACAAATGGCTGATTAAGTTATCCTGGGTCTTATGGGTGGAGGCAAATACTTGAAATAGAAAAGCTGTTTAGTGCAAAACAAGGTGGGGAGGGAGTTGTAAAACAGTTATCAATAGCTACCTCTGAAAAACCCATTCCATCCTTGGCTAGTGATTAGAGGATAAAGTGAACTGCTAGAGAAACATGATAGATCCGGGCAGTGTGAAAATAGCTGCTCATTGGGTATACTGACTCCATGTTATGTTCTTTCAATAGCCCTATGTGTAGCCTAGGCTGGGGCTTATGGGGAAAGCACCTCCCAGCAACAACTACTTTGGACTAAAGAATTTAAATAGTTTACATAGGGTCATGCTACCTGGGGAATGCAAGGACAATATACTTACAAGCAGGGAGCCTCTTTTCCCATAGGACTGACTGGGGAACTGTGTGAGGAGTTGCTGGATTCTGTCATCAGTTGGACAATGTCCAGCTCTCAAATAGCTCTCAACTGATAAAGGCTGCTGGGTTTGTGGATGGCAATTCCAAGGTAAATGCACACTTCCTCTTTGGAGAGCTGCTACTCTAATTGAAGAAGGTAAAAACAAATCAGCTTGGTGGGCTGAATTGCATGGTGTTTTCCTAGTAGTGATGGAAAAATTGAATAATCGTAAAAGCCCATTTGGGTTTTTCCTGACTCACAGGCAGTGACCAAAGGCCTGGCCATATATTCAGGCAGGGAGACCATGGAAACATAGCCTATTATAGGGATACCCATATAGAGTGCAGCCCTGTGAAAATTTGAGGAGTGCATCAAAGTAGGACATGTCAGTGCCCATCAGGAGAACCTCCTTCCAACTTTGGAAGGTGACTGAAATCCACAAGCCGATGTGCTCACTTAAGGCCGTCAACAGGGTCCATGAAATGAGTGGATATGGGGGTACTACAGCAGTACCAAGGTGGACTGAATCTAGACATATTCCTCGTACATCCTTTGAGTCAAAATACCAGTGTAAGTTGCTCTGTCTGCCAGCAAAAGAGACAGAGACTGAAGATGGCTAGCAGATTCTTTGGTGGGAAGGCCTTAAACACTTGGCAAGTGAGAATGAGGCTGGTAGCCCTGCGGGGCTACAAAAGAGGCATGACAGGTATAGTCACCGACTCTGAACTGGGCTTGCTTACCTGGTAGAGGATGCAAATGCTCAGAGTGTTATAGAAAAACCAAAACTGAAGACACTGCATGGATTTGGATGGCCAACAGTC